AGCTGTGCTTCTCTAGAGTTGTGACCCAGGAGACATGAGCTTTCGAGGCTTGAAGTCATATTTGCATCACTTCTATTTTTGGGTATGGCTACCAGCCCTGAGCCTTCTCTAACTACTGTTGAGTTTCCCCTAGTCACCTGCAGGCCACTCTGGCAGCTCAGAACATCTGGAGGGCAAACATTCAGTTATCTCTTCCCTGTCCTCCATATGCACCTATACTATGGACATTCCAGCTGGAGACACTTTTTTCCACCTCCTTCATCCCACTGCACACAACCCAGAATTAGGATCAATGGAAGCAGTACAGAGAAAAGCTTGGGAAGGGGATAAATGCAGTATTGCCAACCCTACTGTGCCAAAAATCATGAGATAAACTCAAAGAGATTGGCACGTAAATCATGAGATGCTATTTTTTAAATGTGTGTGTGTGGTGGGGGGTTATCTGTGAGGGCTGTGTGTGGGGTTTGGAATTGGGAGGGAGGGAGGGTCCCCCACATACCCTGGCAGGATGTGGGGTACTGTGGGTCAGGAGTGAGAAGCAGTGGCAGGGCTGAGTGGGCTCTGGCTTGGGAGTAAGGAACAGAGACAGACAACACTTAGCTGCTAAGTGGAGGGAAGGGGGGAGGGAAGCTACAGCGGGGAGATGGAGGCCCCTGTGGTGAAGGAGGGAGTGGGATGGGGGTGAATGGGGCCCTGGGGTCAGGCAGATCGCCCAGAGGCATGAGGCAGGGCGCAGCTTCCTGCAGCAGCTCACGCCCCTGGGGGAGGAATGGGGGCATGTGTCCCCTGCGGGGCAGAGGCGGGCTGGGGCTCTGTGCCCTGCTGCCTTGCCCCAGGAGCTCAGCTGTGCGACCCTAGTGTGCCTCCTGCTGCCGGGCAGGCAGGGGATGTGACGTGGTCAACGCTCCCCATGTCCCCTGCCTGCACTGGGGTTGTGTGGCTGAGCTCCTGGGCCAAGGCAGCAGGGTGCAGAGCCCCAGCCCGTCTCTGCCCTGCGGGGGACACATGCCCCCGTGCATTCCCCAGGGATGTGCATTGCTGCTGTGAGCTGTGCCTCTTCCCCACGCCTCTGGACAGCCCACCCCTGCCCCAGGGTCCCATTCACCCCTACCCCTGCTTCTGCCCCACTCCCTCCCTCACCGTGGGGGCCTCGATCTCCTCCCAGTCCCTTCCCTCTCCC